CAGGAAGACAGCGCTGCCTCGATCGCCCGCGCGCGCCCGCGCCGCCTCCCTGCCGGGCTGCTCGAAGGACGCAGAGAGGATGGACAGTGAAGGGTGGGAGACGATGACATAAAAAGTGCAGGAGGCGGCGCAGCCCTGGACAATCCCCGGTATAATCGGGAACATACAGATAGTGGCTTGTCCAGTCGAGCCCACGCACTCGACGCGAGAGTATACGAGCTGAAAGAACCAGAGAAGGGGAGGCGGGATCCGAAGACGAGTGAGAACAAGGGAGGGCATGCATGGTCGAAGTCGTAGCTGAGGAAGGCAGGGAGATGGGTGTGAGCACGCTCAATCATCGAGTCAACTCGAGATTGAACATCGAGCTCGAGAATGTTGAGACCATGATTCCGAGCAAACGAATCCACGTTGCGACGGGTCGTTGAACGATGAGAGGGCCTGCGACAGCTCCCGCGTGCACGCTGCTGCCATGAGCTCGCAGTCGCAGCTTTTCAATCCCAGAGGGCTGGTCTGCATGGCGTCGCGCTCGATCGACGCATCGTCTCCATCCTCGGAGCCTGCAGAGAGAAAGCCGCCTCGAACTCCGTTGAAACTTGGGGGCGTCTCATTGCCAGCGAGACACCGCCGCGTCGCCTGCAAGAGAAGTGTTCCGCCGCGAGGGTGGTTCGGCCGCGCCAGATGCGGGGCCCCTCGGGGCCCCAGCTCGCTCAGCTCCGCGTTCCGGAAGGTTTAGTCGAAGGTCGCTTTCGAAAAGGGGGCCCACGGTTGAGGAGGTCGGCTTGAAGAGAGCGGCGAGCGAAATCAACGCGACTGGCTTCGACGTCGATCGTCTTTCCTGCGAATGCAGGGCGTTCCCATCTCCCCGACTGAAGCCGAAAGCTCGAAGCTTGTGTTCGGGATCGGCGATGCGCCCCCCGCCCTGCTTGACCCCCTGGGGGGCGAGCTCCCCCGAACGAGCTCCGAAGCTCGGCGCGACGAGCTATGCCGCGGAGACGGCAGCGGTGGCGCGCGAGCAGCTTCCCTGGCGCGCCGGGCTTCATGCTCTGGCGGACTTCCACAGCAGCCCGATCAGCGGCTGCGAGCTGAACGGCGTTCGCGGCCTCGAACAACTCAGGCGGCAGAACGAGCGATGCAGGCGCTTGCTGCGCATCCCCTTGCGCGTATTTTTTGCCCAGCCAGTGTGTCTGCCGGGGCCGTTTTGCCAGTCTGATGTCTGGATGCCAGAGAGCTCGGGATGCATATTTCAAAACAGTGAGGCGGGCCAGCGGAGCCAGCGGGCGTTTCGCGAAAGTGTTGTAGCGAGCGCGTTGTGCAGCGTGCCTCGTCAGCTTCTTGCGAAACCCAATCAGCAGCGGCGACGAAAGGTCGGGCTCGCCCGCGGTCTCGGTCGCTTTTTCGATGTTGTTCAGGAGTTCTGGGGGACGAAAGGCCCCCTGGAATCGGCCGCGTTGGGGTCCGTCTTCTGGCGCGGAGCAGTCGCGACCGACATCGCGACGTGATTGGAAATCCGCTGCCCGCTCAGAATCTCAGGTAAGCCGCGCAGCTCCGCGGGCGAGCGCAGTTGTGTGAGTGACCAGCCTGGCGACGAAATAGAGATACGACCGATGCTGCTGATGGTGTTCAACTACTTGTTGAAATGTGCTTCCCCTTCCACTTCCGCCTCCGTGAACTTTGCTGGGATGCGCCGCCGGGCTAGTTCTCTGCGCTGTTGTCTGTCAGCCAGGGCCACGCAGCTCAGGAAACGGATCCAGAGGGCGCGGAGGTTTGGCAGCGATGTCAAGGTCCCCTGCGAGAGCATCGATCGACGTGAGCGGGTTCTGCTGGGCCCTCAGGAGGTCTAGGTTGATGAGATCTTCGAGATGCAGACGATCTAACAGCGTTAAACCATGGTTATTGATGTTATGGCGCGCGAACCAAACGCCGTTGGGGAACTCGACGGAGACCCATCTGGGCCCTGCCCGGCGCAGCAATGGCATGGTCAAGCTGAGGAAAAGGAGCGGGATGGGCATTGGGGGGGGGGGGGGGGGGGGTCGGGGGCGAATGCGATCGCGCCCCCGGCGCAAACGCGCGCGCCGTCGACGTCGCTGTCGGGGCCGCCGTCGAAGAAGGCGAGAACGGGGCGGTGGAGATGGCAGAGGAAATCTTGCACGGCCAGCTCGGCGCCGCGTGTCTCTGGAGCTGCGACCAGCGCTGCACGCGATAACAGCTTCTTCAAACAAGAAAGCATCTTCGCACGAGCCCCGCGGCCATGGGGGAAGGGCGATCTGGCGCGCCGCGTCGAGAGGCTCAACGGCGAAACAGAATGCGAAGAGCCCTTCCACGTCTCGTAGCTCGTAGAAGGAAAGTACCAGGAGCACCGCTGAACATTCTCCTGCTGCGGGCTGCGGATGGACTGCGTTGCTTGGCGGGCGTCTCACTCGCTGAAATCGAGCGCGGCCAGGTTCGCAGAACAGCATTCGACAGTCGGGCCCGAGGCGGGCATTTGCGCAGCGACGCGAACCAACTTCTTCCATTGCGGCGAGATGGACCCAAGCGCCTCGTCTGTCAAGAGCGGAACCCTGTGGGTTCAAATCCGCGAGGCGGGTCCGCGCCTGCTTCGGCGTGATCTCTGCGCGCGCAATCGCTGGGCTCTTGTCCGCCGCGACGAACGCCTCCATGTCTTGATCGGTGCGTGCCGCGCGCTGGTCAAGCGGATAGTGCGTGAGAGCCCGGGCCTCGTGGGGCCGCTCGCCGCGTCGACGATCCGCCCGCCCCGGATTGTGCAGGCCGTTTCGCAAAACGTCGCGCCGCTCTCACCTGATGGTGGCGCGATCGCAGGCTCATCTTATGATGTGCTGCGAGCGCATCAACATATGGAACTGGCGATGCCACGGGCGGGCCGCATATTCTCGCAACTCCGGGTGGCGCGCGCCGCCGGGGGGGCCCGACTTAGAAAGGATTTCGCAGCGTTCATCGCCGAGGGTGGGGCCCTGAAGTCCTGAAGTCCCCGATTGGGGGCTTGCGCGGGAGTATTGCGTGAAGCTGGCGACGAGGCAAAGGAAGACGTTGAACTTTCCTGCGGATCTCAAAAGCCCGCGCGTCACGTTCTGCCTGATGAATGGTGCGTCAGCGGGGGCCGGTTCAACGGCGCGGCCCGGGCGATGCCGTGCGCCGCCGCGCTCCCGGCGGCGGAGTCGCTTGACGCCGACGTGGCGGACGCCCTCTCCGCGGTGCGCGGCGAAGTTTTCTCCTCGCCAGCGAGCCTGCATAGCTCTGGCAGCTGGACAGGGCGGACTGGGCTCGAGGGCCGTGGCGGACAGGGCGGGCGCCGCGCACGCGGCCTCACGGTCAGCCGCGCACCGCCTGCGCGCCGCCATTCGCTCTGCGCGCTGGGGAAGAGCTGACGACCGCGATGCTCCACTGCAGGCGGCGGTCGGCGCGCTCGCGACGAAATTGAGAGACGCGGGCATCCTGAATGGAGATCCAACCGCTTTGTCGCAGAGCAAACTCAATGATGTGGTCGACGCGCGCAACGCTCGGCTTTGGAGGGGGGGGGGGGGGGGCCGCCGGCAGAGCGAGTTCACCTCGCTGCCTATTCGGCCCCGGGCAGCGGATTGGACATGGAGATGGTTGCATCGCAGGCGCTTGACACGCAACTCTTACCAGGTGAATTTGCGAAGGCGGTCGCGCTTCATCTTGGAGTCGGCGTCATGGATGGAAATGTCCCATGCCCGTTGTGCGGTGAGCTGTTGGATGGAGGTGGTGGGCACGCGTTGTCGTGTATGTCTGGGGGAGATGTCACCTCGCAGCATAATGGGGTGCGAGACGTGCACGTCGACTTCTGCGAGCGCGGAGGTTTAAGCCCCGAGTGCGAGGCGCCAGGGGTGCTCCGGGATGTGATTGGCCGGGATAGCCGACGTAGGCCAGCAGACGTGTTGTGTATTCCAGCGTTGGCGCTGTCCACAACTCTTCCAAATGGCTCCCGGGCCATCCGGACCGAGCCCGTCTGCTTCGACTTTGCTGTCATCAACGCGTTGGGGCCGAACCATCGGTCAGACGCGGCTTCGGGCGCGGGTGCGGCCGCGGAAAAGTACGACGACTTCAAGGGAATTCGCCAGAACACAGGGCAACGGTGCATTCAGGTAGGATGCCGCTGTTGGCCGGTGGTGCACGAAGTGCAGAGGGGGCACGTCCAAGGCTGCTGACGCGGCGGCCCGGGCCATCGCAGCAGCGGTAGGCGCCAGGGGGCGGCGCGAGCCGGGAGCGGTAGCACGTGAACTATTGGCTCGCATCGCGGCTGTGATAGCGCGCAGCTCCGCGCGAACAGTCAACAAACGAGGAGCCAGGGGGAGGTCCAATGGCACGCTCCCCGCTGTGAGGCAACACGTCCGTGCCACTGACGAGGAGGAGGACTAAGTGCTTTCCTCCTCCTCCTCCTCCTCCTCCTCCTCCTCCTCCTCGTCTTCTTCTGTTCGTCCTCGTGCCTCCGCGCCCCAGTTAAATGATGCAAACGGGGCAGGATTTTACCGCCCCGCGCGCGCGGTGCTCAGCCTAGCCCGGCCACGGAATCTGCGGCTAGCCGCCCGTCGGCGCTCCGAGCGCTGCGCCGTGGGCCTCTTCCCCCTCTCCGGCCCGCTGGGCCTTGTGCGTCCCTCCTGCCTTGCCTCGTCTTTGGCTCTCGGCTCCCCCCTCTCCCCCCTCCCTCTTCGTGTCCTCTCCTTGCCCTTGTGTTTCTTGTCTCGTGGGTGTGCGTGCTATCCGTCTCCCTCCTTGCTTGGCTTCTTCTCCCCGTCCCCCCGTCCCCCCGTCCGCCCGTCTGTCGGCCCCGTCAGTCCTTCCCTGTCGCCCTCCTTCCCTCTCCCCCTCTCGCTCCTCGGCTCCTCGCTTTCCTGCCCGTTTCTTGCCCTTGCCTGGCCCGCTTTTCTTTGTCGGCCTGCCCCCCCGCGGTTCGAATAAGAATTGCGGCGCTGCCCGTTGAGTATATCAACAGGCTTTGTACTGACAGGCAAGGAGTGAATAGACTATAGATTTCGACTGAGCGCTCCACTTCGTGCTGAAGGCACGGTGGCGGATTCTTTAGGAATGAAGCCTCCAGAATTTGCTTCCACGAGCGGGTCTGGATCCAGGGCGGCACCAAGACTGACCAGCTCCTGCTCCTGCTCCTCCTGCGCCGCAGTGATGGTCTTGGCGTTGAAGCACTGCCGCGACCCGTCGGGAAGGCGTAAGGCTCCCATGGCCTGGCTGACACGTTTGGCCGCCAATGCACCCTGGCCTTTGACGCGGAAAATGCATCTCTTGTCGACTGGCTCGCACTCGAGCTGATGCAAACTGGGCTCCATGGAAACTCGACCCAACCACGGCTGCAGAACTTGAATGAGCGTGTGCTTGCCCACTGGCTCCGTCGTACGGGCAATGATGGCAGAAGTATCGGGCTGACGATTGAACGACGTGTCGGTGGATGACACCACAACGGGCTGTTCCTTCTGAAAGACGCCAAGATGCTGCTGTAGGTCACGGGTGTGTTTCTCGAGCTGGGGGAAGCGGGCATCGTGCTGATTCTGTCGAGCTTCAACACTGGCCAAACGACTCTCCATGTGCTTGCCCATTTTGTCGTAGGTGTTGGAGACGGAGGAAACCAGGCTGGCGACCCCGATATGAAGCTTGGAAATGGCTGCGAGGAGCTCTTTCCTCGTAGTGTCGACGTACACGCGGACCGCCCCGATCGAGTCGCCCCCATCATCGATGATCTCGAAGGCAGCGTCACCACCTGCTTTTCCGTCGCGATGACCCGCAGGCAAATCTGCACGACCGTCGCCATGAGGCGGAGCAGCATCATCGGCCCGAGGTGTGGGATGCGGCTGGCTCTGCTGGGACGGGGAAAGTCTGGAAGGCTTCCAAGTATGCCTGCAGCCGACGCTGTGCTTGCTCGTCAAGGGCAGCGATAGCGGCGTTGTTGGCGTCTGCTGCCTGGTTGCGATGAAAAGTTCGGGCTGCGCTGCGGCTGCGAGCGTGGCCATCTGTCGGCATCGTACTCTGGAACGGCGAGAGAAAGACAGAGACTGGCGGAGCGAGAAACAAAGACAGAGAGGATCTGCCTTGGCAGGCACCTCTGATCCCCCGAACAAGCTGACCTGCCGAGCTGGCTCGACAGATGCTTTACTTGAAGCAAAATGGCTACGGACCTCCTCCTCCTCCTCCTCTTCCTCCTCTTCCTCCTCTTCCTCACCTCCTCCTCTTCCTCCTCCTCTTCCTCCTCCTCCTCCTCCTCCGCGCGCCGGGGCCGGGCTTTGCCAGCTCCTGGTGGCAAGTGGCGCCCAAGGCGGTGCCGCTCTTCAAGGGGAAGAATGTTCAGCAGGATGCGGTCGGGAACTTTTGCTCAGCGCGTCGGAGCTGCAGCCCTGGCGACACGCTGCCCTGCGAGCGGATAGCGTGCCGCTCTTGTGCGTTCTGCGGGAGGCTGGGGGCTCGGGGCGTTGACGCTTGGGGACCAGGAAATGGTTAGCGCGTCGCGCCGAAACGTGGTGGACCGTGTTCCAGTGGTGCGTGGGCGGGATGTTGGGGCGCCGTGGGCCACCCCTGGGAAGCTAGAGGCCGGCGGCCAGCCCAGGTACAGCCGTTCAACAGGGGGATGGAGGGGCATTGGGACGAGGAGGAGGGGGAAGAGTAATATGGAGGATAGTTTGCCAGGTCGAGCGGATCAGAAGGCGCCGCCACCTCCCACCCTCCCCCCCACAACATACGAATCAATTGTGGCACAACTTGAAATTGGGATTGGAACGTGCTCCCACCTCGCAAACGGAAGGAGCTCGCGTGCTGCCCCGCTTCCGACTACTTGGCAAAGAGAAAACTACGCGGGTCGCGCGGAATGGGAGAGGCACAATTTCCGATGGGCGCGGCGAAAACGACGCATGCGTCGCGCTGACTCAATACTGCCACGCTCACTCACAAGCTGCGCGGCGCTTGGTCGAGGTAGGAATTTCGCTTGCTCTCGCGCGGCCCTGCTGCCGCTGTCGCTCACATGCGATTCGGCGAACGAGCAATGCGCCGCGCCCGCGCTGGAACGCCGTTGCCAAGCGAAATGCGCACGCAGCTGGGGCGACGGCGACAAGTCGTCCAGTCGCGCGGGCGCTCGAACATTGGCGAGTGACATATATGCGCCGCGTCGAGGCGGGAGGGACACTTTCAGGCGAAATCTGCGCGAAGCCGAGGCGAGAGCTTTATTTTTGTCTATTCGCGCGTCGGCGAAGTTGCGTGGGAAAAATGTGCGCCGCGCCCAGGCGCCAGCTCAACTCTCTAGAAACAAATGAGCGCGGCGCCGAGGCGAGAACGACATTTCAACCTTTCGCACGGGATATGCGCCCCGTCTCATTCCTGCCGCGCATTTTGCAACATAGACGAAATAAGGTCAATGTTGGGACGAAAACATGGATTTTGTGTTGTTTATGGCAGGTCGGATGGGAGGGCCCGGATCTGGCCCCCATCGGTCAGTCTTGTGGCAGAGTATGAGTATATACCAGTCAGGAAAGTTGGCCAGCGTGGAACCCAGACAATTGTTTCTTGCACTTTAAGCAGTGCAGCCTAGGTGGTGCAATCAATGTGGCGCAATCTTGGTGTCGCAATCCATACGGTGCAACCTATGTTGTGCAAAGCAACGCAGAGCAATGCAATACAATACAAAGCAACGCAGAGCAACGAAGAACAATGCAGAGCAGTGCAGAGCGACGCAGGGCAATGCAGAACAATGCAGAGCTCTGCAATGCAATGCACTGCAATGCAAAGCGATACAAAGCAATGCAAACCAATGCGAAGCAATGCAACGCAATGCAACACATAATCATGCAAAGCAATGCAAAACAGTGCAAAGCAACGCGGCGCAACTGGCAACGACGGACGGCGACTACGGGCGGCGACAAGCTGGCCGGACTGACGCCTGGGCCAAATCACCGCGGCCACGGGCGGCGGCGACGGGTGGCGACGGGCGGCCACAAGCCGGCCGGGGTGGCACCAGGGCACAATTACCGCAGTGGCAGACGGAACCGACGGGCGGCCAAACGCCGGCCGTGGCGGCACTGGGGCCCCGCTTCCTTGGAAGCGAAGCGAGAACCCGTAAGCGCAAGCACTGCTGGGGGAACTAAGATAGATATGGAGAGCGCGAGGGAGTCTTTGAGGCTTGCGCCAGTGAGGAAGAGCGCTGACCTGCCCACCGGTGAGGTCTGCAGTCTGGTCCAAGGGCTCCCAACTTCGCGCTTCGCGCTGCGCGAAGCGCGAAGAGCAAATAACTTAGCGCTCTCGCGCCGCCTTCCAGGGAAGAGAGAGAGAAGATGAGGAGGAATCGGAGCCGAACCGCGAAGCGCGAATAACTTCGCGCCCTCGAGGGCGCCCTTGTGGTCCGTAATCGTCTCCTGATCATCTCCCCGTCTTTTCGATCCTCCTCTCCCTCCTGCTCCGTGCTCCTTCCCTCTCCCTCCTCCCCCTCCTCCATGCTCCTCTCCTCTAGAGGCCAGCCCAGGTTCAGGCCTTCGACAAAGGGGGACAGAAGGGTATGGGGACGAGTCGAAGCCCCCGAAACGCAATCGGGGAATGTAATGGAAGAGAGGGTCAGACCGTGAGTTTCTGTGCCGCTGCATACCCGAACGCGTGCCGCAACTGCAACGAATCTTCGTTCACAAACGGCACTCTGCTGTGTTTGCTTGTGACTGTGCAGCCTCCTCCCACTTGGCATGGTGCCACCGAGCGTGCCAACGAGATCGTCGGTGTTCATCTGACCAAGCAACTTCACAACAGACGAACGATACTGTTGTCAAGGCCTTCTGAACTGATGGTCCTGATCTTCCACGATAAGTGCGCACGAATTCATGCAAAGCTTGTATTTGTATATGGCTGGCTACGCCAGAAACGCTCGCCCCGCTGGGTCTTCACATCTAAAAGGCCGACGAAAGCCGAAGTAGTGCACGGCCGCGCGGATGGCAGGAAAAGAAGCCGAGGCAACACGCTGTATTAGCAATGCAGTCCCTGCGGCGTAACAGCTGGAGTCCCTGGTTTGGACTCGCAAAGCGCCAGAGATCAACTGCAGCCACACGGCAGACTCAGGAACGTGCGTTTAAACCGCGCACACATATTTGCATTTGGCGCCGGAGACTGTCCGACACCGAGCAGATCTGCGCGAAGTGAGACGAGAGAAACGCACGTGTGCCCGCTTGCTGTATTTCGTGCGTGTTTCAGCCACCCACATGCCCACACACCTACACGCACCTGGCCGCCTTCATTCCCCTCGAGCCTCACACATACACACACACGCACCTTACAACGCATGACGCGTTTCCTTACAGAACTTGTGTGTAAACGTGCTTTATATATAAATAAATTTATAGATGTACACATGCGCATGGTGAGTCTCTGTACATATATATTTATAAATATATAATGTTACTTGGAAGTGTAATTGCAAACATACTTATACGGATGATTCTATTTTTATGTGTACGTATACGTATACTTGTACATCTACTTATCATTACACTTTCACTTGTACCCGCGCATACAAACATATAAAAATCCGCCGGCCCCCTTTGTGGGGCCACCAGGCTGTAGGCCGAAGCTTCGCAGTTTCCTGTACCAGTTGCAGCTTCCAATTTCCACTGTTACAGTTCTGCTTCTTGCTGCTTACTGTTCCTTGTTGATGGAGCGCGCGAGGAGGGGAAGCCCAAAACTGGTATTTTTACCGCGCCCTGAGCGTGTGCTCTGAATTGCTGGGGTCAGGCGGCGGGGTCAGGGTCCAAAAACATATGGGATTTGCCACATTTCTGAAATTCGGTGACACCCCTCACGCAGATCGGCGGGGTCAGGGTCCAAAAACACATGGGACTTGCCACATGTCTGAAATTTGCTGACACCCCTCACGCAGATCGGCGGGGTCAGGGTCCAAAAACATATGGGATTTGCCAGATTTCTGACATTCGGTGGCACCCCTCACGCAGATCGGCGGGGTCAGGGTCCAAAAACACAGAGGATTCGCAACATTTTTGAAATTCGCTGGCATCCCTCACGCAGATCGGTGGGGTCAAGGTCCAAAAACACTGGGGATTTGCAACATTTCTGAAATTCGGCGGCACCCCTCATGCAGATCCGTAGGGTCAGGGTCCAAAAACACAAAGGATTCGCAACATTCTGGAAATTCGTTGGCACCCCTCACGCAGATCCGTAAGGTCAGGGTCGAAACAACAAGCAGGTCCCGACACTGCTTCACGGCGGCGCCCAGACCTCATGATTTAGCTTTTGCATCTCCCATTCTCCGAGACGGGGGGCCGGCGGCATGGGGCGAAGCCCTTACGGATATACACATATACATATACATATATACGCAAAATATGTATATGTATGGATACGTTATGGCACAATGGTGGCGGCTTCAGATTAGCAAACAAAGGACTCCAGCAGTGCATAAAAGGCTAGTTCAAACTACGTACGAAGCAGGATCCATTAGTGAGCGACTCTGCCAACGATCTTTCCGTCGGCACGTCGTGCAGGTCCAACAGCGAAAGGCACGTTGGGCCTCCCTGCGGAGACAAATGTCTTTGTCATCCAGTAGGGCGACCTGGTGGGGCGGAAGCTGGGGACAGTGCTGTATGTGTATATCAGCCACCGTGCCCCCTGTCACGTTGGGGCGTGCTAGAATGCCAAGTGCTGTCTGGTAGCGTTCCTGTAATCTTCTAAGGGCCACTCCCTCTCATCACGCTGCCCCGCATGACTCGCCCCCCCTCTCCAGGCCAATCCCCAGTCGAATACAATGGAACTCGCGCTCCAAAGGCCACCGTCTTTTGCACAATACGATAAATTCGCGCTCCCGAGGCCACAACACTTCGTACAGCACGACAGATGCGCGCTCCCGATGCCAATCTGCCTCCAAGACGACGGCCCACTTTGGCCTCAAGACGGCCCCAGATGTCATGAAGACGGCCCCAGATGACTTCAAGACGGCCCACTTTGGCCCCTTCGACTGCCCAAGACGGCGCCAAGATGGCCCCACGACAACCACCAGGCACCGACTATACGGCCAAGAGGTGCTCAAGACAGCCCACAAGAACCCCTAAACGGCCTAAGAGGGCCCGAAGGGCCTCCCGAGACTCCCTGACTGGAGGCCACGACAGCCACAAGACGGCCCAAGCAAATTCCGTGAGGGCTCTTCATACGAAAGGTGTCACATGATGTGATGGCCTTCCTCTTCCTCCTCTTCCTCCTGCTTCTCCTCCTCCTCCTCCTCCTCCTTCACATCATCCTTATTATCGTCATCTTCATCCTAATCTTCATCCTCCTCCTCCTCCTCCTCCTCCTCCTCTTCGTCACTACCACCACTATCGCCATCACCATCACAATCACCTTCGCCATCACCATCACCATCACCACCATCACCATCACCATCATCATCACCATCATCATCATTATAATCATCACCATCACCGTCACCATCACCATCATCGTCATCATCAACATCATCATCACCACCACCATCACCATCACCATCACCACCACCATCACCACCACCACCATCACCATCATCGTCATCATCAACATCAACATCATCACCACCACCGTGACCATCACATCACCATCAACATCAACATCAACATCAGCGTTACGGCTCCCAAAGCCTGGGGACACGAGGTGTCACACGTGACGGCCTCTCGAGCCCCCCCCCCAACAGTCGCCACCCAGAACGCTGGGCTGGCACGGTGGCGGGACTTGCACCAAACTTGGATTCACCTTCCACAACTGGTAGGTGCGTTCCCAGATCTCGGCTCCGTGGCTCGTGGTCTCTGGTCATGGTCTATGGTCGTGGCTCGTGGTCTCCTCTATGGTCTCCCCGTACAGTCTCCTGTAGCATTGTGAACCGCATGCCATGTAGGTCGCACATGTTTATACAGTGTAGTACACCACCGTGCAGCATCTGGTGCACTCAAAGTAATACGAAATTATGATTGGCATCTTCTGCCGCCACGGGTGTAAGGAATGTGCTGCTTTCTGTAAACGGTTATTGGTCTCAACTTGTTCTGTCACAGCCCAATCAGCTCCGGGGAAGGTCCAAGCGGGTCCCGAAAAGCCTCGCGAGAAGCCTCACGAGTCCGCACGGCGTCTGCAAGACGAGCCTGAGACACCCGAAATGCCCCCAAGACCTTCCTCGAAGGCTGCCACGGAATCTCTCAGATTGCACAACATCTTGAAGAGAGAAAAACTTGGCCTCGACAAGGGAACCCTGGCTGAAGATGTTCAGGCAATGGCTTGGCCTGCACTTGCACGCTCCGCAGGCCTGGGAGCGAGGCACCAGCCAGGAAATTGGCAAGCTGCTAGGGGCCAGCAACCTTATCCAAGACCGCGGTCGTAAAGAATGCATACGTTGCCCGTAAAATTGTACCGCCAGCTCGACGGAGCTGTCTCCAATGACTTCCCCTCTCAAGCAGCGGGTGTATCATCTGGACTCTTCAAAACACGCGGAACATCGGCGCCGGAGCATGACCAGCAGCCTCAACTCCGAGCGATCACGACCACCAACCTCAACGGTGCCCGTCTGAGAATCGAATGGCGCTGATTTGACCGCAGGACAAAAAAAGACAAGCACCCTCGTTTCGGGCAAGATCCTGTCCCCCGCGCCGCAAGGGGTCCGGCCCGCGGCCGCAAGAGCCCAGACACCAGGACCCAATGTTACCCGGAGCGGCTTTAGCCCCTGCCCCGGGAGCGGCGTTACCGCAGTCCATTCCTCCTTCTCCCGCTCCTCCTCCCTTACTCGACTCCACCCCAGTCCACTCCACTCCAGTTCCATCCTTCTCCTTTTGGTATTCGACCCCACTTCACCCCACCTCAGATTCACTCCACTCCCGTCCACTCCACCTGCCCCTCTCGATGGCGAGGGCGGGCAGTCGTTGTGCGGGGTGGAAGAAACACAGCTCACGTGCGCGAGGGCCCTCAAACCCTCAAAGCTGGAAGGTCGTTGCAGAAGAAGGTGTGTGGAGTGGCAGAATGGGGGAAGAGATGGCGAGACAAACACTGCCAGCAAGAGAAGCGGGTCCTCGTGGCAGCATGGATGCTAGCCAGAAGAGTGAGATACGTTCGGTCCTCGGCCAGTCGTAATCGACCATTCGTCTCTGGCCGGGCGAGACAGCAGGAAGATTTAGAAATCTGGAACGTCTCATTACCAGGACTTCTGGCTCCTCTGAGAGAGGGCCATCATCAACAGGACCTCAGCCGCGCGACATGGCCCTGAAGAGGCCAGATCCGACGACAAGAGTGTAGGAGGTCATGATGCCTATCAGAATCGGCACGCACCCTTCGGCGTCCAAGTGGAAAAAACTCAACGCGACGGCCACGAGCGTGAACGGTATCGGGAACACCGAGCCGGGCATACAGGTCATCACGACTGGCACGGTGACTGCCGTTGGATGCGGGCCCCAGTCGAGAGGAATCAGGGCGCACATCTGGCCAATTACCACTCCTACGAAGAGCACCGGGAAGAATGGACCGCCTACCATCCCGCCTGCGGACGCGACCGAAAACGACAGCGTCTTGGCGACAGCGATCCACAGCAAGTACCAGCTCGACCCCGTGGGATCTGGAGTCAACCTGGACGCGATCATCGGCAACATGGTATCTTTGCCCGAAGTGAGCGACATCGGGCACATATAGCCCAGCACGCCGGTGAGCAGGCCTGCCAAGGAGCAAAGTGCTGTAATCCGGGCGGGAGTTCCGAGAGAGCGCTCGATGCCAGCGCCGATCTTGGCGAAAATGAGCTTCACAACAGCACCGACGACACCTTGAACGAGCGAGGCCATCGCACCGATCACGCCTAACAGCACCGCCTTCGGCAACACTGCGTTGCTGTGCTCCTCGCCGCTGCGCCACGTGCCCCCTGGGAGGTCCGCTGGCCATGGGGCCTTACCCACTGCGCAGCGAACGGCAAGAGCCACCGTGGCCACGTAGCCCAGCATGTACAGCGTTCGCCTGCCGAACAGCCTCAGCTGCTTGCCGTCAGCGTCGTGCAGCAGCATCGAACACTCCGCGCAGATCAGCAGGGAGACCCACGGCGACGGCAAGATGGTGCCAAACGCCGCGCATATGCCCCCGAGCACGTAGAGCCGCCGGCGTTCGTCCGCCTCCGCGGCCCAGGAAGGCCCCAGGCGGGCCACGCAGTCCGCGAAGAAGGTCCCCGCGCCTCCGCCGAGGGACGCCAGGCCCGCCTCCGGCCCCATCGCCGCCCCGGAGAGCAGCGTGGCGACGCAGCAGGCGCACGTCTTCAGCCCAGGCACGGTGTCGCAGTGCTGCGAGCGGATCTCGACGATGAAGGGACTGTAGCTGTCGAACCCCGCCGCCACTTTCAGCAGGCCGACCGCGGTTCCACCCAGCCAGCAGAGCAAGACCCACCAGGGGCAGCCCAGGCCCCCGTCATTCAGGTACTCCTGCGGGTACTTCTTGCCGCCGCCTGCCCAAGTGAGCCACTTACTCAGGACGTCGCCAACAACGTACCCGTAGGCGTAAGATACGGCGCCAATAACGCTGGCGAGAACACCCAGGCTCACGATATCGACCAGGAAGCACAGGCTGTTGGCCCAGGGCGGCTCCACCTCCGCCAGCACAGGGTCCCTGGAATTCACAAAACAACCCTAACTAGAAACTCTTGGAGGTTCGTGCGGGTTTCTTTGGTCGGCGCTGGGCCCTCGTCTGAGGGGCAACGTTAGGAAGGGGGACCAACTCGGTGGGATAAACATAGACCTATCATCGGCGATACATCCCCGATTGATCGGCGATTGGCCCCCGATAGCGAAGCCGCGTGCTCCTGGGCGGGGTGGGCCATCGGGCCCCATATCGGCGATCAGTGGGCGATTGGGGGTCGACACGTCTCGCCCTGACCGTATGTGCGCTGTCCTCCTCCTCCCCCTCCTCCTCCTCCTCCTGGCCTACTCCCTCCTGTCCTCCTAACCTCCTTTCTCTTGTCATCCTCCTGTCCTCCCTCTCCCTCCGGAGGTCTCTCGGGGTCCTCGGAAGCCCCAGAGGTCCCCGGAGACCCCAGGACTCCTCTGGAGGCCCGCAGGGGCCAACAACGCACGAGGACCTCGGTCCTCGAACACCTCTTCGATTCCTCGATGCCCCCTCTTACCCGGCGCGCGGAATGCGCGAGGGTATACTGGATGTCGGCGGTGCCGTGGGGATGTGGGGTGTGATGTGGTCCAACTCCAGCCCGAGAAAATCGCGCGCACCTCCGAAAGTGCAGTTTTAGGGTAGGCACATATGATGAGAAATCGTACAATCAGAAATCTAGCTGCATGCTTGTCGTCGATGCTTGCGCTTCCTGAAGCGCCCAAGGGAAATTGTGGCCCCACCCAAGCCATCGGGGGATAAGACACCTCCGTGGGGCACCTGCTCGCAGGCATGTTTCGTGTTTGACATGCCTACTGTCTGTTTGCGCCGCTTTACTCTAGTCGTACTTTGCTCATCCTCCGGCCCGATCACACCCACGCGCACCACTCACATTCATCCGATTCAAGCTCACTTATGCTCGTATAATTCGCGCACGCCGAAACCCACTCGAACTTAGATCTCTCGCAAATGTTCTTACTACTCATACTCATATTCACTCGTGGTGAAATAAACGTGTATTTTTTTTACTCATGCCCACCCATACCCAGGTTCCTTCTTACGCAAACTCAACTCACACCCAGTCTCCCTCACAATGGGACCCACTCGTGCTCACAACTTATACCCACTCAAAACACAACCTCACCCATCGTCAAACCTCATACATGGACTGATTCATACCCTTCCTACTCAGTGTCGCCGCAGTGTTGCACGCACTGACCAGGGGTGTTCTACGGGCCCGTTCGCGCCCAGATTGTCGGGCCTGCCAAGCGAAACGCAAGTTTTGGTCTAGAGAACGAGTCTTCCCCCGCAGAGTCCCATGACCCCCCGATGTAACAAGCATGGCGTTTGGGCCTCCCGGTGGGGTGTCGACCAAAGGTGTTCCACGGGACCGCGCGCCCAAATCGTCGGGACGTCTGACTTAACCGACGCGCCCGTGTTTGCCAACTTGGCGATTTTTCTTCGAAGCTCCATGACCACCGTGACGTGGCAAGCGTGGCACTTGGGCCTCCCGCGGGGGTGTCGACCATGGGTGCTCCAAGGGCCCGTCCGCGACCAGATTGGCGGGGCCCCTCAAGCAAAACACTTGTCTTTGCACAATGGACGGGTGGGTCCCCTGGCAGAGTCCCATGCTCACCGCAATGAGCGGGAATGGCACGTGGGACTCCTAACTTGTTCCACGGGCCCGTGCGCACAGATTGTCAGGACTTCTCAGGAGAAGGGCCCGTTGTGGCCCAGTGGACGGGTCTCTTCTCACAGCCCCGTGGTGACCGTGATGTAGCATGCGTAACGGTCAGGTCTCCCAATGAGTTCGTCGACCAAGGGTGTTCCACGGTAGCAAGGCGATCCCGGCAACTTTTCGAGGCGGGGCCCGAACATCGCGAGCGAAACCCGCAAATCAAAATGCAGGATTACCCGAAAATCTCCCCGCAGCCAGAACCCGAAACTCCGACCGAAACCAGACCCGAACATCCGGGAGCAACCGAACCCAACGATCGAGTTCAGAGCGACCCCGCTTCGCCCAGCAGACCCGGGCTGCCGAGCTGCAAAGCTGCCAGGCCCGCTTCAACAGCGGGCGGGGCCGCAAACTGGATTGGAACATTCAAAGTCGATGTGCCAACGAGGGTAACGACCGAAAACAATTACAACCGGATGCTGTCAAGGGTTTCGTGAAAACGCTTGCCTGCGATATCACTTACTCTGGAAACGCAGAAGCATGGGCAGGCGCGGGAACTCCACGATAACAAGAAGCACGGCAGCAGAACGAGCAAGGGAGAACGAGCGGCAGCAGTGAGAGAATGAAGGAAAAAGCAGCAGCAGGAAATATAGAAGGACACACTAACCACAATAGCATCCTGAGAAGCAAAACCGCACGCAAGCACCCGTCGTCTCCTCCCGCCTGTTGCCCCCTCTCCCCAGGCACCGCTCATGCCGCAACCCCCTCGCGGCGGGAGACTTTTCCGCGCGCGCCTCCGCAATGCCGTCGCGCTCAACCAAACCGACCGCAGGTGTTTCAACCAACCCTTCATCCAACCCCGTTGCCACCCGTTTGCGAAAAGAAACTCCGATGACGATCCCAAAAACCCCCGACATGATTATTCGTCTTCTTCGTCGCCGCCGCTGCCGTGCAGCGAACGCCAAGACGCTCGCCAGAACTCGCCTGAAGTTTTTTCATGACATATACTGATGGGCGTTCGCAAAGCGTGTAACATTCCTCTCGGCCAGGTCGCCCGAAGCTCCCTGCATTGCACACCTTGCACGCTACGCATCGCATCAAATCTGCGCGCGAACCCTGCTCGCCACGCGGCGCGGCAACAGAGCCGCCAGCTCAGGCGGCGCCGCGTCCAACCCTCAGTTGCCACGAAGCCTCGGCGCCACGAAACCATCAATTGCAATGGCC